TCTATCACAAACAATTTGAGTACAATACCCTTTGTTAGCTTGAGCTTTATCGCTGACACTTTCCTCATTGTTCCATTTGATTTCTATCATAGACAATTTGAGTAAATTGTCCTTACAAAATTGTTAGTTTGATCTTTGTCACTAACATCTTCCTCATTGTTTGAATTGATTTCTATCACAAACAATTTGAGTACAATATACTTTACCAAATTTTTAGTTTGATCTTTATCACTAACATATTTCTCATTGTTTGAATTGATTTCTATCACAAGCAATTTGAGTACAATATCCTTTACCAAATCGTTAGCTTGATGTTTATCGCTGACGTTTTCCGCATTGTTTGAATTGATTTCTATCACAAACAATTTGAGTACAATATCCTTCCCAAAATCATTAGCTTGATGTTTATCGCTGACGTTTTCCTCATTGTTTGAATTGATTTCTATCACAAACAATTTGAGTACAATGTCCCTTACAAAATTGTTAGTTTGATCTTTATCACTGACATCTTCCTTATTGTTTGATTTGATTTCTGTAACAAACAATTTGAGTACATCGTCCTTAAAAAAGGATTAGCTTGATCCTATCGCTATCACCGTTCGCACTGGCCAATGTACCACAGACAACTTAAGTATATCGTTTTTGCAAAATGGTTAGCTTGGTTTTATCGCTAGCAATTTTTCCAATGTTCATTTCAATTTGTATCACAAACGACTTGATTATATCATTGTTACAAAATAATTAGTTTGATTTCATCGCTAATACGTTTCAGATTGATTAATTTGTTTCTATCACGAACAACTTGAAAATTTTGTTGCTACCAAATGGTCAGTTGGATTTTATCCCTGACATTTTCTTACGCAATTCGGTTACCACCATCATAACAATTTGCAAGCGCCATTGTTACCAAGATGTTCATGCGCCATTGTTACCAAGATGTTCATATTCAAAATGTGGATGTCTTTGTCTTCATTTAAGTGATCTTTGCTTTTTTCTTTTGAGTGTGGGACCGGGAGCGAAAGAGATATACAAAGGGAGCAACTGTAGACACCACATTTTGTCCCAGATAATCATTCTACTAAAAAAAACTAATTGTAACATCGTGCAATGATAACATTTTTAAAGGATGCTTGAGATAGTTTGGTTAAGACTAGCAGTTGCAAGTCAATACGAACCAACAATTTTCAAATTTGCTCCTAGTCGATTCTAGGGCATAATTAGTTAAGATAGGATCGGTTTTAAAGTTCAATTAGCAGTGGCAAATATTACATATAAATTCTCAATTGGATAGAATAAATGACTATAGTGCAAATTTTGTTTCTCGAGTTTGGATTTGAATTCGGTATTTGAAATGGGACAAATTGAATAGTGGAATGAGCTTTATTATCAAAGATTCAAAGTTGATACATCGTATAACTTGGGTAATGACCTTTAAATAAAGCAAGAATTATAATTAATTACAATGACTAATGCTAACTCTACAAAATTTGGGGCACCAATCGGATTAAGACTAGGCCTCTTTGCTATTTATTTTGGGCCCAAAGCAAAACCAACCTGCAGAAGAAATAAAAAAGACCAGTCAGTTCTCAAGCGAGAGTCCAAGTCCATAGATTAAGCCCAAATCAAAGTAATTCAAGACTAGACAAAGCTCAGTATCGGCCCAGAAAAATTTAAGACAGGCCCAGCCCAGACAAACGTCCAACAAACAGGCCCAACTCGGCCCAACGAAATTCGACCATAACCCAACCGACCTGGTTAGGCCTGACCATATCATATCCACAACCGACCTCAACAGGGGGCACACCTTTCAAAGTCTCAATAAAGAAATGGAAGAATCCTATAGTGACACGTGGTGGTTTGGTTTGGTTTGGTATAGGTGAGCTCTTTAGGCTCTTTGAAAGGGGACGACTTTTGAAGGGGGAAAACGCGGAAGAAAAATGGAGAGCTGCAATTGGAGAGTCAATGTTCATCTTTCTTGGGGAGATTAAAGCAAGATTGAAGAGAGGTTCAATTCGCTTCTAGTTACAAGAACTGTAAGCAAGCAAAGCAGAAGCAAGATTAAGCTTCTCGGATCTGAGGTTGGTAACCTGTGTACTATTTTTCTCTAATTAGATAATGATATGTATCAGTTTTTTCATGTCTTTTTAATTACCTGTATGAGCGATCCTTACTATCAAAAGATAAGATGTACTACTGCAATGATCTATTTGCATCTTGTCTTTACTTAAGCACTCTCTTATTATCGGCTATCTGCTTAATTTCCCAGCTTTTACTTACCGTGGATACTTGGTATACACGATAACTTCATTTTTACAACACTTTATGTTCAATCAAGTTCCAGTGTCCATTCTTAGCATATACACTTGATGCACTTATAGAAAGAAGTCAAAAACACATTTTCTTAGGGATCTTGATCGGAAGATCCAAATCCATATCCAACAAAAATTACCATACCACAACAAATTTCAGTTCTTAAACCCACGATAATTTTTCTAATAAATACATCACAAAAATTCTAATCAAACCAATAATCGTACGATAAGTGAAAACAATAGTTTCTTATAGGCTAGTGATCGCAAGCAGTGGCGGCGATGTCTAATGAGCTAGCTTTCTTTTTAAACCGCTTTGTTTTTTAATGATAGCACTAAGAGCCAAAACATACAAGGATTGCTAATCTCCTAGTTCACAGTTAATTCCAGATCCACAAAACTATAACATTTTTTAAAATCAATCCAAGTCTAGCAAAAATCACAAATAATAGTAGTGATTTATAGTCACTAGTTTGCCAAAATCACAAGCAGGGGTTGCGATTTTAGAAGGAAAACAGGTTTCGTTGCATTTTTAGCATAAAAATCAAAGTGATTTATGGGTGATGTCCATAGTTCCCAGATTTCATCCTAGATCTAGAATACGCATATACAACCATATTTCCCAAAATCCAGGTTTGTAGAGTAGTTCAAATTCACCATAAATAATATTGTTTTGAAGTTAAAAATCCCTAACCAAACTAAACCTAGGATGTGAGAACCTCACCTAGATCCGTCCATTTCCATAACCTGCATCCAACAAATCGCACCATCAGATCTTAAACCTTTAGAGTTTCTCGATATCCATATCGAAAAAAAGGGGAAAACACCTACCCAGCTGGTCGTCAGTGTAGTAGCCGCCGAGAACCTCCTCGGCTTCACCCTTCCTTCGATTTCTTCCTCCTCACTGAAATTCCAAACCCAGAAACCATCGATTCAAGCAGGAAAAAAAAAACAAAGTGAATCCCAAATCAGAATCCTAACAATAAATAAGAACACAATCAAAACTAGAAATAATTATGCATGTACCGTTCTTCTTACCCTAATCGACGCCCTCTGCCTTGTCATGGCGTTGTTCGCCTCAATCGTCGCCGTCAGCGCCACCTCCTCTCGTTTCTTTTTTTTTCATTGCTTCCAGAATCAATGAGAGAAAGAGGTGGACGGATCCGAGAGGGAGAGAGCAGATCGAGAGAAGGAGAGAAGAAGAGCTTCGTGTTGTTTATGGTTTCCTCTTCTTTCTGCTCGTCTCAGAGGAGGCAGCGAGAAGAGAGGGAACGAGAGGAAGAACTGCGGAAAAAAAACGAGAGAGAGAGAGATGAGCGGCTGTTGATTTAGGATTAGGGTTTCATTTTTGTCCTAAGATATGCTTTTATACCTACCCACAAATGACCGTTTTGTCCCTAGGGTTACGTCGGAATTACGCAATCCTGCCACCGTGCTTTTGAGAATTTACAAAACTACCCTTCCCCCGTTCTTTGAAATAAAACGAGAATCAACAAAAATTTTGATAGGGGTTTCCAACCCATGTTCTCAAGGTCGAACATGGGTTATGACTAGCAACTTAGCAAGTTGGGTTGCTAACCCATCATGCATTAATTAACCATCCCGATTAATTTTATTTATTTAAATTTTTAATACGAAATGTGAAATGCGGATTAAGTTTGTTTTGCTTATTGTCTGATACATCGAATTTCTTTTTAATAATTAAAATTCTTGCTTTCATTTTAGTAACATCGTAATAATCTAATTAAAATTCTATTAACAAAATTATAATGCAAGAATAACGTTTAGTGGAATGTGATAAAAGTTAGGATTCAAACTATCAAAGTTAACAAAAACCTTTAATACATGAAACCATCATAGGTGTAACGTGACCAAAGTCATACAATTAAACTTTCGAAGTTATAGTGAACTACGTGGACTTTGATCCCATATTACGGGTACATAGGTAACCGATGAGGTTCGAGTCCAACTAACCAATTAATTTTATCTTTTAATTTTTACGTCAGTGGGCGCATTATTAAATTACAATTAATGCGATTTAATTTCTTTAGTGGTCCAGTAAGGCCTTAAAAATATCTAAAATATCTAATCATAAACTAAACGTCCAATGATGTATTAGTTAAGTCATAAGCAATATATTAATAATCCAGTGGGATTTTAAAATACACAATAATTACCGAAATAACACCCAACACACATAAAACGTGTCAGCTTAAGTAGTACCGATTTAGGGCGTTGTGGGGTGTGATTTCACTTCCCCACACGTAACCGTACTCTCGAACACGAATCTCTTAACCGCAGACTAAGTCCCGGTTCTGACCCTAAGGTAAGAGCCGATTCGAAGAGTGTTCGATCCACTCCAAGTATGATCGATGGGGACTACCAAAGAGCGAACGCGACCCACGACGACCCCCGGAGGGACGGTTGCGACATGGTAAATCGGGTTAGTTCGAAATTTTCATCCCTAATCAGAACGGATAAATGACAAGGTTGGTCACTGAGATTACTAAAAAGGGTCACGTATGGTCACTAAAAATATTTAAATCCATTCATGTTCACTAACTTTGTATTTTCGTATCATCAATGGTCACTCTCCGTCCATATCCGTTAAATCTATCCTACGTGGCGGTTAACTCAAATAATTGATAGTTAAATAAGTAATGTATCAGTTAAAAAATAAATTAATAATAAAACTTAATAACTTTTTAATTCCACCTCACAAATACAATAACTAAACATACAAATTAATTTGCTTTTCTCTAGTCTCTTCCCGGCGGAAAATTTTAACTTCGACCACCACCAACACCCACGCTCTCCGCTTCCACACCACCGTTCCTTTCACCTCCCGCTTCACCGCCAACCATCCCAATCTTTACTTTTGGCTTTCATAGTCACATAATCCGTAGAAACCCTCATCAATCTTACAGCCACCAGCAACAATCCGCAGAAAACCCAGATCAAGCTGAATCAATTACAGAATGGCTTCTTGACAACAAGAACAGGGCATTTCGCATTGTGCACACAGTAATTGGCTAATTTGTAATTTCCCAACAAACACCACAAATCCATCATTACTACAAACCCAACTCCACCGCTTTACATGTCACGTCTTTCGGATCCCCCTTCACCTCTCTGGTTTAAGCGATGCTTAACCCAGGTGCTACTTCCCCAGAGATCCACCATGCCCTGACCCGAGCTAATTGGGAAGTCTCTGGTGGTCTCCGTTGTGGCCGCTGCCGAGGGTATCCAGGTCCTCTTCGCCTTTGACTTCCATTTCCTTCCGTCGACCAGAAACCCAGAAAAATTCCAAAATTAAAAGAGGTCAGAACCCTAAAATTCCCATACCAAAATCAAACCCGAAATACGACACGCAAAATGAAAGAAACAGACCTCCAACCTCTAATGTCGTCGTCGGCGTCCATCGGCGTCATTTTCGTCATTACTATCGTCTTTCACTTTTTCTAATCGCTACCAGTAAAGTAAAAGAGCAAAGAGGGTAGATTGAGGGGTTTGGAAGGAAGCGTAGCTTTGGTTATGCTCTCCTAGAGGAGAAACAAAGATAAATAGGATGGAAAATACTAGAGCGGAGAGGAGTGGTTGGAATTTTGGTGGTGGTAGGAGAGCTGGTGGTCGGAGTTTTTCTTCTTCCGCCGGGTAGAGACTAGAGAGGAGACTGAGGAGAGAGTAAAAAAGAAAATTAATTTTTTATTTAGTTACGGTATTTGTGAGGTGGAATTAAAAATAATTAAGTATTATTTGTTTATTATTTTTTAAATGACACAATACTTATTTAACGGTCAACTATTTGAGTTGACCGCCACGTAGTATAGATTTAACGGAGATGGACGGAGAGTGACCATTGATGATACGAAAATATAAATTTAGTGATCATGAATGGAATTAAATATTTTTTTACTGACTAAATGTGACAGCTTTTAGTAATCTCAGTGACCAATCTTGTCATTTACCTATATCAAAACTCAAACGGTAGACGATTTTCGCGTTATGAGAAGATTAAATCATAATTTTAGTACTAGCTCATTACCCGGCCCTTGGTGGGACGTAGTCGCGGAAATTGACTCTTAGATTCTAACTGATATCATCCGTTAACATGTATATGGCGATGGTCGGAGGTAGGTCAACAACATCATATATAATAATATTATGGAAAGTCATCATCCCATTGTATTATAAAAGAAAACAGTAAAACATTAAACACTATAATGGACAATCCAAACCAAGTCATTAGCCTTAAATATAGCCACTATTGCCATGCATCATGATGCCCCTAGAGTGAACATGAAAAAACCAAAATAATGATTACCTAGCTCCAATTATCAATGGTAAAAATGGAAGCCACCAAGAGATTTCATAAGAAACCCCCAATATGGATTGCCCTTAGACCAAAAACCACAATGACACAAAACCCCAAACAGTAAAACATTAAACACTATAATGGACAATCCAAACCAAGTCATTAGCCTTAAATATAGCCACTATTGCCATGCATCATGATGCCCCTAGAGTGAACATGAAAAAATCAAAATAATGATTACCTAGCTCCAATTATCAATGGTAAAAATGGAAGCCACCAAGAGATTTCATAAGAAAACCCCAATATGGATTGCCCTTAGACCAAAAACCACAATGACACCAAAGGCGATGAATCCCTGGCTGAGAAAACAAAAACCAGGAATGCCCAAATCAAGTCGATGGAATGCGTCAGCCAGTTTTTTCTGAAATATAGTTTTGTTAATTAAAATGACAGAAAAAAATACAAAAGCATGCAATCTGCTGTAGAAATCTCATATATAAACAAAAAAAACAGTCAAGCAATATATGCGTGGAAGCACCAACACATAATAACTTTTGTCAATATCCCTATCACTGTAAATCCTACCAAATCACTCCTAACCACTCAGGTACACTAAACACACAAATGACTAACAGCTCTGTACTTTCTATTGATAATTGGGTTTGCCCTATATTTTTGTACATCATGAACCATCCCCATTATCACGATTTTTATCCTTCTCGACAGCAAACACACTGATTGATCCACTCTTAGTCTTTTTTCTTGGCAGATATATGGCATTTTGCATCAGTGCACATTAATTCAAACGACCATTCCTTGCTGCAATTTATGGCTTGGGGTATTATCACTTTAGTCATAATACAAATTTACATGAAATGAAAGGGATGATCATTATAATAGCCTTGTAAAATTTAGAGTACCAATGGCTTCATCAATAAAATGAGATAGATGACTATCTCTACCAACGCATTCTATATGATTATAGTATGGCCTTTTATATAAACCATTTCTACCTTACCCATTTTCGCATCGCAACTCCAAGAGCTAACTTGCTGGGGCTCTCCTCTAGGTTAACAATTTGTAACCACATCGGGCATTAAAACAAAAATTGCTTTGGTTGAGATACTATCAGGATCTTGTGATACTCTGAAAAAGGCTAAAATGTTTCTCAGGCATTGTCAACCCTCAATCAATTTGACGTGGGTCATTGCTCTCTTACCATCTAAATTAAAGAGGAAGCTCAGGTTAGCCTCTTTTACAGCTTATCTTGACAATTTCTTAGAGGAGATACAATCACGATTCATAATTCTAGAACAACCACCTCAAATAATACAATCCTATGGAAACAACACTAATGAAGTACCTAAATTTTAATTCTGTACATGTGTTCCTATGAGGGTGTGCATGTGCAGATTAACAAAAATAAGGATTGAGGAGGGAGTTTACTTGGCACGCGGTTTTAATGAGCAAAAATCCCGTCAATAAATTCCAAGTGGATATGTCCAATCGATCGGGTCTATACATGCGTATATATCAACATGCTATACTACAAACACAAAGTGTTCGATTTGTCTTTCCCATGACAGCATATGCTCACCATGTATTTATTCCTTGCAGAGAGAAAGATATCAAACCATCTTGTATCTGCTCCAATTATTGCTATCACTCGTGCTTTTTATATTAAAGTAATTAGAACCACACTTTTAAATCTGGAAGCAAGTGACCACTATCACGAAACATCATACTGTAAAAACTTATCTTCAATTGTCGCAACCGCCACTCCGTATCATAGGATCCGTCGCGAATATGCTCGGAGTCGCCATCGATCTTATTTTGCGGTGGATCGAACAGATTTGGTCCGGTCTCAACCTTAGCGTCAAAACCGGGATTTGGTCTGCGAAATTTAGGATTTTGGGTTCGGGAGTACGGTTACGTGTGGGGAAGTGTATTCACACCCCACAACGCCCAAAATTGGTATTACTTAAATCGATAAGTTTTAAAGGGTTGGGTGTGTTATTGTTTGCGCATTATTGCTTATTTAATTATGTGATGTGATTTGATTTAATTTGATATTTATTAATATACGATTCGATCATTACGTCTATTGACGTAATTCCCAAAAGGTAAAGAAATAGTTTTATAATTAGTTGGACTCGAACCTATTGGTTGCCTACGTATCAGAATAGTCGGAATCAAAGTCCACGTAGTTTGATTTAGTAGTTTTGAGTTATAAATGTTGAGTCTCACACATTAGGAATGTGGAGAAAATTTGTTAGTTGGACTTGAAACCTATTGGTTGCCTACGTACCCGAGTAGCTGAGATCAAAGTCCACGTAGTTCGCTTATTTTGAGTTTTAAATGTTGAGTCTCTCACATATTGAAATGTGGAGAAAATTTGTTAGTCGGACTTGAAACCTATTGGTTGCCTACGTACCCAAGTAGTCGGGATCAAAGTCCACGTAGTTCGGTTTAATTTTGGGATTTTTAAATGTTGAGTCTCACACATTAGGAATGTGGAGAAAATTTGTTAGTTGGACTTGAAACCTATTGGTTGCCTACGTACCCGAGTAGTCGGGATCAAAGTCCACGTAGTCGGTAATTTTAATCGATTTTTGAAAAGGGAAAATTTTACACGTTCTATTGATCGTGTTAAATTTAGATATCGATTTTTACTTTGGATGATAATTTTGATGTGTAAACTTAATTTTTGAATTATTGTCGACTTTCGATGGATTTGGTCACACGTTTTGTCACGTTCTATTGAGCATGAATTTTCGTGTTAAGGGAATTCATTAAGTAAATATATGCATAGATGAATATACTAAAATAGAGTAAAATATTTCAAATAGATCAAGTGCTAAGCAATTCATTAGATCGCCAAAGAATTATACAGGATACACTAGGTAATTAAATTGACATAGTTAGCATGTACATTGAAAGAAAGAAACCCACCGCAGCCCCTGGTACTGTACACGCAGACACCTTTTACTGTCCATTGTGACTGAGATTTACTGTTTCAAACTGGCGTGGGCTGGCGTGTGGGCTGTTGTTGGGTGAGGCCTCATTGGGATCTGACGGAGTTTGGGGGCTCGGTCGGGGTGGGACTGGTCGTTAGCTTCTGGTTGGCCTTAGTTGGGGTCGTTTGGTGGCCCGGACGCGCGTTGGTCATCAGAGATCGGTATGTGACTTTTCCCCTAGCGGGTGCGCCAGTCGAGGCTTAATCAGTTGCTCTGGGTGTTCTGCTCAGTGGAGAGATGAGTCGTTCGAGAGACAAAAAAGGATTCTTCAGATACACAGAGAGATATTGAGAGGGATGGGCTCGCGTTGTTCGATGCAGGGAGAGGCTTAGAGAGGCTGGAGGGTTTTGGGGAAAGTACTGAAGTGACTGAGCTCTGCAGGAACAAATATCGATTTATGGAAATTATTTGCCGCTTCGAGTTCTGGGACCTGAGAGGCAGAGGCTACTATTTTTGGTTTTGCTTTTTGCTTGAGATGACCGTTGATTGCAGAGTTCTGGACTGAATGCATGGAAGCAGTGAGGCCACGTTGGAGAGAGGGAAGCTGGGGGTGAGTCTGCACCTTGCAACTTCCTTGGTTGTAAGCAGAGCCACATTGCCGCCTCGGTTCTTGAAGCTCAGAGAAGGAAAAAGCAAAATCTACTTTATCCTGAAGCCATCAATCAAGGCTTATTGGGAAAAGACAGACCAACTCTCTCCTACTTCCAATTTTTTCCTGCCACCCAGCTCACAATCCCATGCCTCTCTACGGAAGGAAAATGGAAAATGGAAAAAGAAGGGGAAAAATCAAGGCTTATTGGGAAGAGACAAATCAACTTCTCTCTATTTCATCTACTCTTCTATTTTTTTCTCAACCCCAATTTTTCTCCCTCTCTCTCCATCTTTCTCCCCTTCTCCTAAAGATGCTCGCTCGGAAAATTGCCTATCGTCTTCAGGGTTTACAGACACCAGCCTACCGATCTCTCATCCTGCCCTCATCCTCTCTTCCCTAGGTTTCATCCTTGACTGTGGAAGACCTTAAAGACGAAGAAAACGATCTAAAGCTACGTATCTAAACCGGGTTTGAGGAATCCCTTTGTTACCGTTCTTCTTGGCTTTGGCGTGTGTACTTCACTTTTTTTCTTCTCTGTTATCTAGAAAGCGTGGTTGATTGCGATGAATGCTTTTGTAAGAATGGAATCTCTTATGGAATCGTTGGCACGATAAGACAGAGGAAGTTGTTCTTTCTCATTGCGCTTTAATATTTCTTGAGGTAAGAGTGACGGGTGACCAACAATCTTTGTTGAGTTCTGCTATCTTCTATTTTTCTTGATCTAAATGGACTGATCGTGCTCACAGGTATGTTTGTTTGATGGACGATGACGATGAAAGAAGTTAGCTTGGATTTGGCAGAAGAGGGCTAGTACTGATGTGTCAATTACCCTCCCAGTCATAATACTTTTTCCAGCTTTTATACATCGTTCCATCGACGAAGAAGATGATCTGGAGCTACAAATCTGCTTCGGGTTCCAGAAATTTCTTAATGACCAAGAATCAATTCTGTTAATCATCTCAATTCCCCCCCCCCCTTTTTTAACTTTGAAGAGAGTATCTCACTGTTCTACTCCATTTTGCAGATTTCTTGGGGTTGCTACAGAAAAAACGGGTCTCAAACAGGTTATGGGTGGTCTAGCGAGTGAGGGTCAAAGAGAGAACTTCCAGTGAACGAACACCCCAACTCGGAGCCAAATCAGTGGTCCAAGTGCAATAAAATCCCTTACTGTGTTAACCAGAGCTCCTTTCCCAGTACCACGAGAAGATTTGTTAGATCTACCATGTTTGCTGCCGAGGAGAGTTGAAACGGCGGATTCAAAATGGTGATTATATCGACCACAACAACTCGGGAAGTAAGGATATGCAACTTGATCAATATGCTCCCTATTTACTCTCGAGGTTACATGATTTGATGTTTATATGCTCAAGTTGTTAATTTTATGTCCGCTTTGAGTTAGCTGTTGAATTCTTTACCTAAATTGTTTAACTTGAATGTTTTGACGGTTTTAGCATTTGTTTTGATACTCTGTTGTCTATGGAGGCGGTTTCATCGTTTGTTTGGATTTCAATACTTCAAAGCTGTATTCTCTTTGCCACTATCCAAATCTATTTGTTTAAATCCATGGCCATCGTCTATGTAGTCAACAGTTGATGTTTTCTGAAGTTCTAAAGCTCTGATTTAAACTGTTTTTCCTATAATCTATGTTCAGCAAGCCTACTCTCAGAACCATGATGGTTGACCCTTGAAATAAATATGTGTTGGTTGCTTTTCGGGCCACCTAATGATAAATTTCATTCCTATATACTGCTAGCTATCCTTGGTGCCCACTCTTTTCTTTTAGCTGTCTATTCTTATGGTTTCAACACCCTTGCAGTTACAACAAATTGAAGATTTGACGCTCTGGGTTACTTTGAGTTTGTGCCTGTATCCCTTTAGTTCAGATTTATTGTCCATTGTAAATCCTGTCATCAGTGAGTTGCTACTCATGACATGGCACATGCAATAGTTTGGTTCTGGGAGTGAATGTGTCTGCTGATAAACTTAGTTGTTTCTCATGTAGAGTTTAAACAACTCTTTGTAATTAGGCATGTTGTGGCCTGTATAATGATTTTTCTTTATATAATCAATGGTACACTCCTATAAATGTTTTGCTATAACGTTGCTTAGATGCCTCTGTACTTTTCCTCTATTCTCATGAATACTTTTGCATCATAACTGGAGATACCAAAAGGTCTTCAACTTTTATCTCATGCTTCAATGAAAATTAATTGCAAATTATCTAATTTGGCTTAAACTTATACGCCCTGGATGTGAATTTTTCTTAAACCTTTACAAAATCATCTCTTGAATATTGCCTGCTGGTCCTCAAGTCCCAGCTCGGAGCGCCGGCAAGAAAACTAGTTACGTATTAAATAGAAATAACACGAGATGAAAACGTACACAGCTGATAAGCAATTGCCGAAATGGTTAAGCGGCCTTTGATTAAAAGCCTTTCATGACCTCAGTGTTAGTTGTTCGAAACCCACTAGGTACGTTTTTGTTTTTAACGGAGGATGACGATTGACGAGGGCATTTTTGTCAATCAACTAAAACGACTATATAAGTATCTCTAAGGAAACCCTAATTCCACGACTATATAAGTATCTCTAAGGAAACCTTAATTCCTTGGGTACGCAAGTCGGCCGCCTCTCTCTCTCCCTCTCCTGATCTCTAAGCGAACGAAGCAAACCTCCCTCTTCTCATATCTTTGAAACCCTAATCCTAGAATCGGCGGCCTCTCTCTTTCCTAGAAACTAAAAACCCAATCGATCCAACCTGCTTCTTCCTTGTTTCTCTACTCTTCTACTTCTTACCATGGTCCAGGAAACCGGATCGTACCGACCGGTTGAACTAGAAACCGGACTAGTGACGAAACGGTACGTCAAGTGCAGGGGGAAGAGCCTGTCGGCCGGCATTGGCAGTCGTACCAGCCTACCGCGAGATCTCGGGCGGTTTCAACAAAACCGGCGATTCCTTCAGTTCTTGTGAAGCGACGCCATTTTGGTTATGTCTGGATTTCCAAAATGAGAAACGGACAAAGAAGCATCACAAACTACAAAAACCTAGGGCGATTGTGTTGCGCAGATCAGAGTCTCGCGCCGCAGTCGCCGCTATCGTTTCTCCAATTCTCCCAACGACTAACGAGGATTACTCCGGCCATCATTCGCGCTTCCTGGCCGCCGTTCGCATCCCCCGCCGCCGTTCGCGTCTCCCAGTCGACCCCGAGATCCAACCGACGTTCGTGTTCCCTGGAAATCGTGCGGTTCCCCGCAGTCGTTCGCCTCTCCCAGCCGAGCCTCTGCAATCTATGGATAGCTTGTCGCAACGATCAGTGACCGACGCAGATTCGCCTTCCTAGAAACCACACTATTCAAACTTCAAATTAGGTACATCTGCAGAATCGTGAATCGATTGTTGTTTACTAGTTTAAGTTGGGGTATGAATCTGATTAACCATCAATTATTTATTGCATATGGAAGATTGTAGATGGGGAGGAAGAACGGAAAATGGTAGATGGGGAAAGGGTCAAGTGCACGCGTAGTAATCTATTAAATGATGGAAAGTTTTTTATAAAAATAATTATTGTTTAAAATTTCTTCTTTTTCTATTAATTTGCTAACTAGTTGTATTTATTCATTTATTATCCGGTATATTCCAATACATCCGGTATTACTCCGAGACGATACCCTGATTTTGGCGGCACAGTTTTTTGACAAAAAAATATATTTTATTATTACAAAAACGGTATTTACCGGTACGAAACGGTTGAACCACGATCGTACCACAAATACCATACCAGAAAGGAATCCGATATGATGCCCGGTATGGTTTCCTTTACCATGCTTCTTACCCTTCTCTGGTTTTCTTTGTGAAAAACGAACAAGGACCCGAAAGTGCGATGATGACTCTCCAGACAGCCCTCAAGTCGACGGTAGATCAAGATTTGAGGCTTGCATGTTAGTTTTTTGGTTTATATGGATTTTAGAGGGTTCTGATCTGCCTCTCGGTTTTCAGTCTAAAGGGAGCGGCCGTCGACAGTATCGGGTTCCGCTGGCGACGAGGACGACGATGATTAGGGAGAATTATTTTTTGGGGTAAGATTTCAGGTTTTTCTTTTGATTTGGTTTATTTCTGGATCTCAATGCTTATATATATATATATAGGTGGCTACTTCGGTGCACTCACTTTTTGAGCTTTTTGAGTGCACCCAATTCTAAAAGCGTCCATAATACATCAAATTTTGAACTTTGATTAGTACTCTCAATATAATATAATGATATGACATAGAATCATAACAAATCAATCCATTACCCTAACCCCTTAACATTCAATTTTGAATCCCAACCCAAAATCCCAAATTGTAAACCTAAACCCTAACCCTAAATCCCTAAATCCTAAATCCTCCGAATTAAAGTAAATTTTGAATGATTTTTTTTCAAATTCATGTGCTTCTTGTTCAGAATATCATAAGCAACAATTGATACCGTTTTGACATGAATCGCATGGTCAGAATGACAATTATGAGGCGAGTGCACTGGGTGCACCCAAAAAGTGGGTGCACCGAATACGGCACCGTGTGTGTGTGTGTGTGTGTGTGTGTGTGTGTGTGTGTGTTAGTCACTAGAAAAAATTAATATCAATTTTAGTCACTTGAATTACTTAAACAAATCACATTTAGTCACTCTTCGTTAGTCTTCGTCCAACTCCGTTAATGAAGTCCGTTAAGTGCTGATGTGGCAAACATAATTGTCTAATTAGCGTCATTTTGGGCCGGAAATGGTTAAACCTGACCCGCCGCGTCACTAAACCAACCATGTCATACAACCAACCCATTAACCCTACCCACTAACCCAACCCTAGCCCACTTTAACAAAACAAAATTGGAAAACCCTAGCTCCAACTCGTTCTCCTCTTCTTCACCGCCACTTCCCCAATGAAACAAAAGCTTCTCATCATCAAACTCTCCTCTCTGCTTAATCAAGCTGAGCATACCAAACCTCCTGAATCTTCACATCCTTGAGGCGCCCAAATCGGTGTCCGACGGCTGAACGCTCTCAAAAACCCAATCACCTCCCCTGTCTCTGGCTTGCTCTTGGTCACGCTCAATGTAATCTTCCCCTTCGACGCCGCCGCGTTCTTGACATTCTCCTTCGCCAGCTCTTCCTCATCCCCTCTCCCGTCGGGGGGCAGCGCCACCGCGTTGTCATAACCCTGGGACCCGCCTCTGCCCTTTGGGTCCAAGAATGACGACCCTCTGTACCTGGGAACCAAAAACTCGTCGTTGAATCTCTTCGGTTTTCCAGAAGCAACGAGTTGCTTCACCGTGAAGAGGAAAGGGACCCTCTCGCCTCCGGGGAGCTGGACGGTGACGGCAGCGTAGTCGATGCCATCTTTCTCATCGAATTTCATGATGTCGTCGGGGGAGACCTCGAAGGGGCCTTCTCATTGTGATGATCTTGCAACTGTTACTGATGTTGTTTCATTGGGGAAGATGTCGGTGAAGAGGAGGAGAATGAGTTGGAGCTTTTCCAATTTTGTTTTGTTAAGTAGGCTAGAGTTGGGTTGGTGGGTAGGGTTAATGGGTTGGTCACGCTCAATGTAATCTTCCCCTTCGACGCCGCCGCGTTCTTGACATTCTCCTTCGCCAGCTCTTCCTCATCCCCTCTCCCGTCGGGGGGCAGCGCCACCGCGTTGTCATAACCCTGGGACCCGCCTCTGCCCTTTGGGTCCAAGAATGACGACCCTCTGTACCTGGGAACCAAAAACTCATCGTTGAATCTCTTCGGTTTTCCAGAAGCAACGAGTTGCTTCACCGTGAAGAGGAAAGGGACCCTCTCGCCTCCGGGGAGCTGGACGGTGACGGCAGCGTAGTCGATGCCATCTTTCTCCTCGAATTTCATGATGTCGTCGGGGGAGACCTCGAAGGGGCCTTCTCATCGTGATGATCTTGCAACTGTTACTGATGTTGTTTCATTGGGGAAGACGTCGGTGAAGAGGAGGAGAATGAGTTGGAGCTTTTCCAATTTTGTTTTGTTAAGTAGGCTAGAGTTGGGTTGGTGGGTAGGGTTAATGGGTTGGGTGTATGACATGGCTGGTTTAGTGACGTGGTAGGTCGGGTTTGACCATTTTCGGCCCAAAATGGCGCTGACTAGGCGCTTTCGTTAGCCACGTCAGCACATAACGAACTTTATTAACGGAGTTAGACGGAGAGTGACTAAATGTGACCTATTTCAGCAATTCGAGTGACTAAAATTGATATTAATTTTTTCTAGTGACTAAACATGTCTCAATTTAGTAATCTCAGTGATCAAATGTGTCTTTAACCCGTTTTTTTAGAGAATTGCTATTCCTCGCCCTAAAATTTCTTATTCGTCGCCCTAATTAAATTAATTTTACTTTACTGTCCTTAATTTATTTATTTGTAATTTAACCACTTAAAACCAAAACAAACTTATAAATTACGGGGAAAATAAAAATAAAAAAATCATTGTCTCATCGACGGCCGCCGCTATGTGATTTACAGTTCATACCGATGGCGGTGGAGCTCAAGTTAAATCGAAGTTTTGCACGGAAAACAAAAACACCAACTACAGATGACGTCCCCTGATTAATTCCTCTTGTCCCGGGTCCAATTAATTCCTAGAATTCCCCTTCCTCTGTCCAATTAATTCCCAGCGGATCATATTTGATAAAAAATCCCTAAACCCTTACTCTCTTCTTGGAGCTCTGTTTTTGTTTCTCTTCTCGTCCTTTTTTATTTGGTTTAGTTGTTTGTTGGGGACTAGGAAGTGGAATCATCTCCCCTTTCATGAAGGGCTGAAGATAAGGGCTGAATGGAAATAATAGAGATTGAAAAGGCCGGCTTGCAGGTGAGGTTGGCTTGCAGTGGCGACGAAGCAGGTCCTGAGGAAGGGACTTGCAGGGGAGGTCGGCTTGCAAGGAGCAGGCGACCCTTCTTCGATTTAATCCGCGGCCTTGGTTTGGGAGATGAGGAAGGGACTGAGAATTGTTTGATTAGGGTTTAAATTTGAAATAAGGTTAAAGGGTAAACGTGTCAATTTATTGCATTTTAGGGCGATAAAATTTAAATTTTAGAGCGACGAATAGCAATTCAGTTTTTTTATGTTGAGTTTCAATCGGCAAAGAGAGAGAGACGGAAGTAGTAAAAACGGAAGGAAATCATAATCCGCCGCCGGCGACGACAAGGGAAAGTTTATCTATTGGTAAGTTTCTTGGCTTATTCACGTAGGTAATATAGGATTCCGATAGTTTGCAAATCTGAGTTGGTGGATCTGATTACGGTTTTGACACAGATTTGCTATTTTGGCAACTATACGATTGTGTAATCTGTTTTGATGCTTCTGGTGTTGTTAGGGTGTTTAGGGTATTTGCATTGATGTTAATATGGTTGAAATAGTGGTAAATATTTGGTGAAGATGTGAATGAGTTTGGAATGACTTTGAGGTTGTGCTTTCTATGGTTGTGTATTGTTCGAATTGAATATGAGTTTGGTGGGTTTGTGGTTGGTTAAATCTGGAAATGGATTGGTATTCATGATTGAGTTGATTTGGATATATTTTTAACCCAATTTGTCAAAGAAACGTTCCAGTAGAGATGATTGTTAAATGACAAAGGAGATGATGAATGATAGCTAGGTTTCATTGATTACCAACCTTTTTATTAGTAGTTTGGTGAAGAGGTTTAGCTGCTTTCCTCCAATTTCTTGTTGACGCCTTTTCTTCTTTTTCTTGTGTATATTTTTTCGTGTGTTTTGTGCGTGGCTTGATGTTGGTTTTCAGTTGCTCTTTTCTATCTTTTTGCAAGGAAGGGGATATGGAAGTGCAGGGGAGAAGAAGCGGGGAAGTGGCTCCCCTGTTTCTGTCTACTGCCTCTGGCGAGGAAGAACAAGGACGCAGAAGAAGAAGAAAATGAAGTCCATCCAGAAAAGACAAAGATTATGTCGGGAGGTCGAAGAGAAGAAGTCGCTAGTTCCTGTTCCTTTTGTTCTCTCTATTTTTAGTTTTTGAGAGGAAGGGGAGTTTCTCTTTGTTTATGTGATTGAGGAAGGGGAACAGTAGAAAAAAGTGGAAGCAGTTGTTGTCGTCTCTTTTTATGGCTAAGCAGAAAGAAAATGAGGCTCTTTTTTTTTTTTCCTAAGATGAAAGAAAGAAGCCTCTCCCCCTTTTGATGGGGAAGGAAGATGGTATTTTATGGGAAAAGGCAGCTTGCTACTGCACCGGTTCTTGGTTTAACCAATTTTGGGTCAGTAATATTGAGTTTGGGTTTTGGTTTGGTCAGCCCGGATTTGGGTCAGGTTGTAGTTGATTAGGGCTTTGACTTAGGCCTGCCTTTGTACAATTACTATTGTAACGGTTTGTAATTATTATTAAATTGGAATTTTGGCAAATAAAGTCTTAATCTTGTTATTGTTCTTTTCCAAAAGTCGAGGCCCAATGCAAGTCCAATGCCTTATGAATTAATTCAATTAGTAAATTCATTCGACAAACAGAGTCGAGCGAATGCCTAGCTCGTCTAATCAAACCAAAACATGTAAATTCTAACTATCAAACAATATCGATCGAAATTTGCTATTGCTTAATCTCAATCGAGTTATGGAAAACAAGACTCATTCTTAACACAATAAATACATTTTACTTAGGTCATTTAAGAATCGCTATTGCAAACCTTAAATAAAAACTATATTTATTCAATTAAATATATGTTTTAGCCCGGTCAATAAGTGGTGTCTACAACAATCATGAGGGTATTTCACTCAAAAGAAAGTATGTTCTAATGTTAAAGATTATCATTATAGCTTGAATAGTTCAATTCGGCAATAATCTCAGCTCTTACATATAAATTTTATGTAATATTGGTATGATTGAAGTTATTCTTTATTTTAACACTAATTAGAATATTCTTTGTTTACAGGAAACTAACCACAAAAATATTTCAAATCAGAAAAATGATGATACTGAAAAGGAGTATCATAAGAAAAGCAACAAAAAGAAAAGCTATTTATCTTTAATCAATTCAAAAGCCAACCTAGAAGATCAACCAAATGAACTGATGTTAAGAGATCACACATTACTGTCGAAGAAACTAAATAACCCATCAATAAGCTCTTCAAGCAAGAACAATCAACCTTTCCATATTTACCCTCTCCGAAAATTGCTTTGCGTAACAATATAGGTGGATGAGGTTAGGCGGTTGTCGAGTCCGATGGGAAGATTTGGAGAGATAGTGATGGTTAAGCGTTTAGTAGGCTGGGAACCCGAGACACTGAATATCTTTAATCAACTCAAAATTCAACCTAGAAGATCAACTAAATGAACTGATGTTAAGAGATCATACATTATTATCAAAGAAACTACATAACACACCAGCCAACTCTCCAAGCAAGAATACTCAACCTTTCAATCTTTACTCTATCGAAAATTGCTTTGCGTAACAATTTTGTTTGCGTAACAAAATTGCTTTCCATCGTCCTCTAGTCACTCTTCGTCCTCTCCCAATGACATCGTCACTCCGGCAGCTGCTGTGAAAATATGGAGACTATCAATGACTGGGGATCGAGGACCTCGATCGGGGATCTCATATCCATATATACACAAACAAAAAGAGTCGGCAAAAAGAGCAGTGAAACCTACGCCGCCACGAGGTACTCACTCCCCGCACCCGCCAGCTTCGATGAGCCCGTATCTCTTCCACCTATACCACCAGCGCCGCCGCCGCTCGGTACCCTTCCACCTCGACTTTCATGGATATGGATTTTGATGCCTCAATCGCTCACAAACCCAGCAACCGCCTCTCTCTTGGTCGACAAAATGGGGAGATTTGAAGAGGAGCTTGAAATTGCCGACGAAAATCACCTCGGTCAAAGTTGGGGATTTTGAGGGTGGTGGCACAATTGTTAGGGATTAGGGTTCATCGGCCACGTCAAAATTGGAAAATGGGGAATAGAAGTCGGAATCGACGGTGGTTTTGGGAGCATTTTGTTGAGAGTGGTGGGTTCTGGGTAGAGAGTCGAAATTGGCGGTGGTTTTGAGTTTGTGTTTTGGGGTGTTGGGTTTTGGGTAGAGAATAAGGACAGCCATTTTTAGGAGTGGAAGGAAAGGTGAGAAGCTAGCTAGCTGGAGCTGCTGCTTGGGGAAGGGAATAGAGGAGGAGGAGAAGAGGAAGAGGCATGCGAGAGGGAGAGGGATCCAACCAAGACTCTGCTCATCTTCTCTTTCATTTCCTTTTTTTTTTTTTCTGTTTTTTTTTTTTTTTTTTTTGAAAGGTCTAGTTAAAATAATAATAATAAGATTTCCAACTTGAAAGAGTAAGGAATAAAAGTTGCCACGTCAGCATATACCATTAGTCCAATCAGCATTCGTGATGTTTCAATTAAAGTTTGTGACGGAATGGCTATATGAGTGTATTTTTCAAAATTTGGTTATATTTGTCACAACGCGAATAGTTATGGCTATGGAAGTGTATTATGCTTATAAAGTTTAAACAAATTTGTTTAGTGTAACTGGTTATGTTTCTTGTATTTTCTTAAAGAGATTACAATTTAAATCTCATCACTTATGCATTTTTTCTGTAAATAAGAAAATAATAAATGACTGTAAAGACAAATCTACCCTTCCTACTTTTGCTGTGGGTACAAAGATTTTTTAATGGGGGAAGCACCTTGCCCATACCACTATTATATTAGGTATAGCGAAAGTAACCCGGGTGGTTGAGCATTGAGTGGGTCGGACACTATCTGTGCCCGTTTACATTAGTAGCGCCATTTTCATCCGCATTGGGCAAACCAACAACATTCAATATTTCCATATTTACCCTTCCAACACTTAATTAAGTATATGAATTCTACATTGCTTCTACACATTCAAGAATGCAATTCGATATGCATGTTTGTAATTGAAAAATATCACACAAATGTGTTTATTGTAACTGGTTATGTTTCTTATATTTGTTAGAAGAGACCACGGTTCAAATCTCTTTACTAATATATTTTTTCTGTAAATAATAAAATAATAAATGACTATGAAGACGAATCTATCTCTCCCACTTTCACTCTAGATGCAGAAAATTTAAAATGGGGCTTCAAGTTTTCTCATTTGGCTTTTATTTATTGTGTAGATAAATATTTAAAATGTGATTGTCTTCCGCGACCAGTGTGATCAAGTCTTACGACCAACATGGTTAGATCTCCCAATCAACGTGGTAAGATGTTAGACTTATTTTATTTCATAGTCTTCTTGTTCTCACGTGGTGGCCTCCACGTGGCAAGCCATGGCTTTGAATTTCCAGAACCGCCTCTTGCGACCAGCATGGTCGTCTCGGACTTAGCTCCTTCGCGACAAGAGTAGTTCCCTCTCGAAGACTTAGTCGTTTGGACTTAAAAATTTAGTGCCATAAACCCCAGTTTAATTAACTAGGGCTGAAAATTGCCCCTGACCCTGTCTGACCCGCTCCTGCAGGGTCAAAATAAAAAATTGACCCGCCTGCCCCTCATTCCTTTTTGACCCTATCTGACCCATTAGGGTCGGGTCAGGTCGAGTAGGGGCGGGTCAGAGGGTCGACACTGTGCAATCACAACTATTTTTGGAAAGTTACATTTTGATACCCAAATTTTTTTTCTTACAATTTAGTATCTAGATTTTAATTTTTTGTACAAATAGGTCTAAAACATTTGGTGGAAAATGACATTTTGGTACCTTTATATTTTGTCTCTTACGTTATAGTACCTAAACTTTTAAAAGTTCACAAACAATTCCAATAGGAATTTCAAGAGATTATGTGTCATAGGGTCAAAGTGACCCGACCCTAAACCGCACCTGACTCTGTCCGACCCGCCCCGACCCTAACATGACCCGCCCCTAAATTGACCCTGTCACCCTGTAAATAAACTGACTCGCCCGAACCCTAAAGGTCAGGATCAGGGTCGAGTCAGGGCGGGTCAGTGGGTATTTAGGGTCATCCTTACATCCCTATAATTAACATAAATTGTTAGAATTTTGCTACGGTGACTTGCAAGTCACTGTAACTTGTACATTTCGGTCGACTGAAAGTTAAGAATAGTCGACCGAATCTACTGATTCCGTTTTGTGACTGTTAACAATGTGGTTGACCTTGTACCTCAAATGGTCGACCTCTTTGCCAAGCGAACAACACCAAAGGTCGACCTCATATGTTAAAACGACCAACCTTGTGCACTAAAAGGTCGACCTCATTTTTGAAAAGGTCGAACTGTATTGCATTAATTAATCAATATCAAACCCAAACTTATTTCCGAAAATAATAGAAAAGTTCGACTTGTGAATTACGTGGTCGACTGAAACTATATTGTATTTGTATTGAATAAGGATTCCAACACTAGAAAGGTAACCCTAACTTGTCTACCACTTAATTTGCCCTAATCTCGTCCTAAAAATCTATAAATAAAAATATATGTCACAGTGACCACCACTCAAACACTGGATTTGTTTTTTTAGGATTAGAGTTTTGGTGAAAAACCACAAAGAGTCGAAGGTTATCGGCTAATTTTCCTATAAGCGGTCGACCTCTTACAGTATGCGGTCGACCGCAAAACTAACACTTTTTATATACGCTTCACGTTAAGGGGGATGGATGAATGGATATGAGTTTAGTCTTCTATCTGGTCCACCTGTTGTTGTAAATGGTGGACCATTCCGGTAATGACAGTCATCAAGTGGTCGACCTCCTTTTGTTTACGGGCCACAATTTTGCTTCTAACTACACTTAAAGGTCGACCAATTTTTTTGTGTGGTCGACCACTTTAGTATCAACTAACTAAATATGTTCGACCGTGATTTTCCATAAGAATGACCACGATAGTGAATTCGGTCGATCGTAGTTACGAATAGGCCGATCGAATTGTGCAAGTTACTGTGACTTACAAGGCACCATAGGCGTACCCAAATTGTTATAATATATCTGACCTTGTAAAGACAATAGAAGTCTTGTAAATAACCAATGTGGTACAATATTATTTTTTAGAGTAAACAAATGTCTCTCAACTACTTAGTACATAAGTATCATGGACTAAGTAGTTGATCCCAACTTGACCACATGAAATAATTCCATGAGTTGTTATCCACTTAACATCATTGATGTAACCCCTCCAAACCCATAGCCTAACATGTCGTCATGATAAAACCAATTTGTATTCGTGGCTATTGGGGCTAGACGGCATGACATGTCCAAGATCCATGTCAAGCCATCACAACAACTTAGTGATAAGCAGTGGCAGAGCCAGAAAGTTGGCCAAAATGGTGTTTTTATCATATCATAAAAATGACCAATATAATAGAAAAGTCAACTCAAGATGAAACAAAAAGTCAACAACGCAATACTCTAAATTCATACAATTACATAAAAATAGTTTCACGTACACCGGTTACAACGTCAAACAAATAAGCTTCTTCCTTTCAATTTTCTTCACTCTCCACTCGATAACATCAACTTCATTCTACACAATTAGAAAGAAAAAAATTAGACATGTCTCCACAAACATAAATAAGACTAATTGTTTAGAATATTAAATATACCTAGAAAATTAATTATATGGGTGTGGGTGGATACCCATGGGTCGGGTTTACCTAAACTCAAACCCAACATGTTAAATAGTGAACGGGTTTAAACCCAAACCTGGCTCAAAACCCGTCAACACGGATTTTACCCGCGTTGACCGGGTTGGGTCGGGTGGGTACCCGTGGGTTCGGGTTTTACTGTCATCCCTAAACTAATACAACAACCAAATTAACCAAACTAAAGTTTAATCGGTTTGGTTAATTAGTTAACTAAAATAACCAATATAACATCACATTATCATTAAGTGAGAAAATTTTCTGGTTAGTGCATCAATTCGCCATTTATATAATGAATAACACATATCAATCAACACATAATTATAGCTAACCCTTTACATAAATATATGTAACAAATACAATTATCTCCCTTAACATAAATACATGTAACAAATACAATTGTCTTACAATTACTTAATTATGTAAAGTATTAAGTATGTGTATATAATATATATTAGATATATGACTAATTATTTAACTGATTAATTTGGTCTGATTGGTTAGAAGTGTATAAAACCAAACAAAATCAAACCATCAAAACCAAACAAACTAAAAAATTTAATCAAAACAAACCAATTAACCAAATTAATAAAACCAAATTGGTTAAATACTACTGGTTAAAACAATTACAACAACAACAATGTCAATTGAACACCCCTAGTTGCCCAGGGTTGTTTTGCTTTGTTGTTTTCTCCCCTTATTTTGATAACAACAACGGGAATTGGGAAGTGGGTGAAACGAGCCAAGCTTAGCTACCTACGTAACAAGTAAAATCACCTGAAGAATCTTTTCCAAAGCCCAAAAATGGTAACATAGCAATCTCATTACAGGATTATACGAATCATACGGGAATTATTTGAATCTACACAAGACATATCATCACCTTCTTCTCTCGACAATTACAGGATCAGGGAATCATTAAAAAAAAAAGACCAAAATATAACATATCGATCCATCGCCTAGCGGTAGTAGGGAAGCCGCACAAATATGAAACGTCAGTTACTCGTCTATGCCTGAGAAGATTCAAGCACAAAAAAGTTAGGAATTGTGATACTGAAGCTACCGTTCACACGAATCAGTTGAAACTGTAGGGTATATACCTTGTTTGCAATGTTATTGGACAGCCAATCCAGTCCCTCGTAAAGCCCTTCACCGGATGTAGCACAGGTGCTCTGGATATACCTGAAACAGAATCATCCATTAGTGACGAGCTAGCCATTTCCCTCATAATTGCCCTTCACCAGATGTAGCAGATGTCCACTGGACAAACTTGTGAGAAAAACAACTGTGAAGCGAAACAAAATAGTATACCAGTGGCGCTGACGAAGGGAATGAAGGCCGAGCTTATCAGTGATCTCAGCAGCATTCATGGCATTAGGAAGATCCTGCTTGTTTGCAAAAACAAGGAGAACAGCATCCCTCAACTCATCCTGCATATTGGACAGGGGGCAGAAACGGGGAGATTAGAGATGAAAGAACAAGCTTCAATTATGACTTGTGAAAATCTAGCTCAGAGAAATATGTATGAACACACCTCGTTCAACATGCGGTGGAGTTCGTCCCTGGCCTCCACAACACGGTCACGATCATTGCTATCAACCACAAAGATCAGTCCCTGGGTGTTCTGGAAGTAGTGTCTCCACAAGGGTCGGATCTGTTGTCAACAACAACAACACAGTCCATTTACAAACAACATACAATTATAGAAGTCCATGCAACCTACTTTAGCTGCCAGAATCATATACAAAAGTGTGATACATAAAAGCCAAGACAAAAGAAGATGTGAGTAGGAGAATGGCAAACATGTTTGCCACGACATGTACATAGCCTTAACTCCATATGATGGAGAAAAGGCTTAACAGACAAGATGGCTCCAGTCAATGTAGCTTATGATAATGTTGTGTGCTAATGAATTATGTTCTTATTAGCACAAGACCGTCAATAAGCACAAAAGAAGAAAAAGCCGGTGAATAGGCAGTAATAATGAGGGATTAGTTCCAGACTGATCCTCCCACTAAACAAGTACAAGTACAATAGTAACGACTAATGCAAGTGACCAGTAACATGTTTGCCACGACATGGATAGCCTGACCTCATATGAGTAAGGAAAAGCTCGAAAGACAAGATGGCTGGGTAGATGTAGCTTATGATTATGCAGTGGGCTAATGGTTTAATTTAATATTAGCACAGGACCGTAATAAGCATATAGGGTCGTGAATATGTGAAGGCAAAATGACGTAGAGACAGCATTTCCCAACAGCTACTCTCACAGAATGGTGAGAGCTAATTGGTGTTGGTGCATGCAAGTAACCAGGACAAGAATCTTAAGAGATGGTACATCAAATAACATTACCGTACATTGATCAAACATGTAATCACAAAATAGACATTTCTGCCACAACATGGATAGCCTTTCCTCATTTGATAAAGGAAGAGCATGAAAGACAAGTTGGCTCTAATTAGTGTAGCTTATGATTATGTTGTGTGCTAATGATTCAGTTTTTTATTAGCACAAGACCGTCAATAAGCACAAAAAACAGCCTGTGAATATGGAAAACTAAAAAAAGAAGATAAGTTAACACAATGGGCACTTACCAAGTGACCAGTACCTATGAACAAGAAATATTTGCCACAATATGGATAGCATCTCCAAATTTCAAATAGAAAAGGCTCGAAAGACAAGATGACAATCTTCAATGTAGCTTATGAATATGTTGTGTGCTAATGATTTAATTTCTTATTAGCACAAGACCGTCCATAAGCACAAATTGACACATAAAACTCACATAACGTACAGTTAAGATATGAAATTTCAGCCAAGGAGCTGATAGCCTTATCCCATTGACTGGAGAAAGAGCTGAAGAAGCCCAAACTGGCTCTGATAGATTTAGCTTATGAATATGTTGTGTGCTAATGAAGGCAACTAATCAGCACAAGACCGTCAATAAGCACATTCAGGTTTATCTCAATAAGGCAACATAGCATCAGTTTTCACCATCAAAAGAAGCCTGTCTAGAGCACTTAAGTAGACTACATTTACACAACTAGACACTCATAAAAGTTGCAATGCAAGCACAGCAGGCAGAAAAATAGTGGTAATACCAGATTGTCCGTTTCCAAAATAGATGATAACAATGAAGAGTAACCATACCTTGTCCTGACCCCCAACATCCCAGACGGTGAAGCTAATGTTCTTGTATTCCACAGTCTCAACATTAAATCCTGATGACACAGAGCGCAGCATTAGAAGCAGTTTAGTTGATTAAATATATTCAAGCTCTACTACTGTGGTTGGCATAAACTAACCGATTGTAGGAATGGTTGTGACGATCTCTCCCAGCTTGAGCTTGTACAAGATGGTGGTCTTACCAGCTGCGTCGAGACCCACCATAAGAATCCTCATCTCTTTCTTGGCAAAAAGCCGGCTGAAGAGCTTCGTGAATGACAGACCCATCTTGTTCTTCTGCACCAAGGGCACAGCAAATTAGCGAGCAACAATCAGAAAGTAATAACCAAAAAAAAAAAAAATCATAAGCTAAGCTCCAAGTAGCGGCTGTTCTAGTCACAGAAGATAGAAAATTAATCATCAACAATGAACATTCCTCGCAGGTTGATTGGCTTTTGCCCATTATCACTACGAAATGTTGCAAAGCATCTCATAATGGGAAAACAAGATCTGAATCCACTAATCAAACAATAAAAGCCACTACAGATGCATCATCGCTCCGATCCTTTTATTTCCCCCCGGTAACCTAACGAGAATAACGTAACAATGAAGGAGGCATCCAAATGATTCGATTACCAATAAAACAATAATCAATACACCATCCTTCATTAGATAAACACATCAAACGCAATACATTATCGGAGAGAACAAGAAGCCGGCGCGAGCAAAGAACAATAACAACGCATTAGATCTAACGTCGTTACAAAATGAATACGGCAAAGACAATTCCTTTGTCAGCTGTATAGATCGAAGAAAGGGAAAATGAATCGTAGATTACATATGACCTGAATCCAGATCTAGCTAGCTATGCGAAGAGTCGATAGAGGGGGGAAAAGAGAGATGCGACTTACTGAGAAACCAGAGGGTGGAGGAGGATCTGGCGAAGGATGAACCGGCCCTTGCCCTAGATTGGATCTCGGAGAAAGGGAAGGAGGAATGGGGGGAAAAGGGATGGGTTGGGAGAGGGACGATGCGACGGCAATGGGGGATAAAGAGAGGAGGCGGAAGCGCTGCTCACAACAATTTAAATAGGTGCCAGGCCAGGTAGGGGTGGCTATACGGTCCGGTCCGGTTAAATTGGTCCAAATTGATCCTGTCCAGTTCGGTTTTTTAAAATATAAGGATCAAAAATTGGATTGGATACAGTAAGGTCTTGATCCGGTCCGGTCCAATTCGGTCTTGATTTTATATTGAGCTTGTAGGGATTTGAGTGGCCTAAGGCCTGAAATGAGAGAAGTTGGTTAAGTTTTGTACTAAATGCAAAGTTTTGGAACCGTTTATGCAAATTACCCTTAAGTTTTGGGTGTTGAGCTCTCTTATCCGGTCTTTATCCAGTTTTCGATCCGGTCCCGAAGGGTTTTTTACCTCAAATCTAAACCCAAAGATTGGATTGGATTGTTTACTATCCGGTCTCGGTCCGGGTTATACGGTCCGATTTCGGGTAAAACCAAAAAACTCGGACCAAATAGCCAGCCCTAAGGCCAGATGCCGACTGAAGCGAATCTGATATCGAATTAGTTAACGTCCGTTTCCCACTGACGGAATCTTCGTTCCTTCTATATTTTCTGAAATCTCGTTCCTTCTATATTTTCAAGTTTTTACTTTTTAGTTTCTAGGATGAAATACTAAACCAGCAATCCGACCATGAAAATAGTAAGTTTTACGTTTAGGTGACAAATGAATTGAACACGCAATGACTGAAATGCGAGAACTAGAGGGAGAGGACATTGGAGTGGGAATGGGAGTTCGGTTCAGTTTATTTCGAACCAAACTAACAATGGCAGTGAAGGTATGGCTGAATTAGGGGTCCCGGGGACGAATGGTTCAGGTGGTCTGGCACTGTTTTGGGATTCAGAAGTGGAGCTTACACTCAAAACTATGTCAAAAACCATATTGATACTACCATTCTCTAGAAAGAGATGAATTTGGAGTGGCCATTTACTGGTTTCTATGGGTGGCCGTATAGTCAAGAGAAATATAAGTTGTGGGGCTCCTATGTCTTCTCCATTCCAGCTGTCACTACCTTGGCTAGTAGTAAGAGACTTCAATCAAATTATCAGCTTCGACGAGAAAAGAGGTGGCAACATTGACGGTGAAGTTGCCATCCAAGATTTCGCAAATGTCCTGGCAGAAGTGGGCCTTGAAGACCTGGGCTATGTTGGATATCCCTATACTTGGGACAATGAAACAGATGGATCAAGGACGATTGAAGAGCACTTGGACCAGGCTGTAAGTAATTATGATAGGGCTCAAGCTTTCCCAAATACGTTAGTCCGTTAGGGAGACCGAATTCGGATCATCAAGCCCTCTGCATTGACACGGAAGGGGGCGAATGAGAAGAAATAAGATGGGGGTCTCGTTTCCGATACGAAGCATTCTGGGAAAAGAAGAAAATAGCAAGCAGGTGGTGGCGGAAGCTTGGTCTTCGGGAGGAAGTAATGACTCAATTGGGAAGCTTAAAAAGTGCAAAATGAAATTGCAGGGCTGGAGCAAAGAGAGATTTGGTAAATTAAAGGAGAGACTAAAAGAAATTGACAGCAAGCTTAAGAGCTTGGAAGGCGAGCAAAGACCAAATGATTGGGTTCAAAGATGACGAGATTTGGAAAAAGAGAAGGGGGAAAATCCTCTTCATTGAAGAACAAAAATGGCGCCAAAGACCAAGGATTGACTGGCTTGGGGGTGGCGACAAGAATACAATACTCTTTCATTGTAGAGCATCTGAATGAAGACGGAAGAACACCATAAAAAAGCTCCAAAATGAATATGGTCAGATCTTGATGGGGCAACAGGAGGTGAGTAGCTATATTCATGGTTCTAAAAAGCGCGCATAGACACTCGTCTAAGCTCACCTAGATGCAAGTCAGAGAGAAAACGCGTCGCTTTGACAAAAAGTAGTAGGTGTCACAATCACGCTGTGGCTTCAATCGCGCCTAGTCACCATGGAGGTGCGCCTCAAAATGATGTCACGATGTCTTTTTCTAACTTTTGATATGCTACCAGGGAGGACGGTTGATGCTCTAAAACACAACACCTAACAATGGCCAAGTGTAACCAATGGAAGGGACTGCAGTATAGTGGCTCAAGTGATAAATATCGAATCCACGGGTCTCTAGAGTTACTATTACTCAGCTTCAGTTTATTATTTAGCAAACCAGATTAAGATGAAAGAACTAAAACTACTCTAGCAAACTACAGTTAAAGTTAATCTAATTACAGGTTGGGAACTCACTTAGGTATGATTCCCCCTAGCCACTAGCCAGACTAACGATTGATGATTTCTAACTTGTTTCACTTTCATTCACAATGCGGAGAATCCTTGACTAGACCTTCAGTCTCGACTAAAGGAACAAGGCCCTCTTGAGTCAATTGCCTAGAGGGACGTATCCTTCTCTAGAACAACTGATCAAGGCGTTCTGAACAAGACTCTCTCTATCGAAAGAGGTTCTCAATCGATACAAAGCAGTGAATCAACCCTCGACTAAAGCAATCGATCCACTACTATCAATCTATGGTGCTCTATTGACCTAATCAGGTATTCCCTCTCATAGAATCAAAGCAGAATCAATAATCTCGACTAAAGCAGAATTGAATCATGAAAACATGCATAGATTGAATATGAACTCAAGATTATCAAGTCAGAGTAATCATACAATCATCCAATCAAACAAACATAGCTAGGGTTCCTCAAAACCTAAGTGAAGGGAAGTTACTCCATAGAGAAGAGAGAGACTGCAGTAAGAATCTTCAGATGATCAGTCTTCAAGTCCGGGCTTGTTCCTCGAGCTTCCAAGGCGAAGAAATCCTCCAACTCCACTCCAAGAATGCCCTCAAATCGCCCTCTCTCTCTGGTTCGTCCCTTGGGTGTTTGGGATCCAAAACCCAGCTCTCTTCTTCTTTGGTTCGGAATTTGGCTTAAAACCAGGAAATCCCGACTCACACGGGCAGGGTGGCACGGCCATGTGGCCTACCCAGTTGCCCGTGTGAGGCAAAACGCACCGTATCACTTAGTCGAATTCCAGGCTTCTTACACGGCCAGGGTGGCACGGCCGTGTGTGACTTCCTTCTGCCCGTGTCTGCTCTCGGCGGATGTGGCACGGCCAACCCGGCCACTTGCACGGCCGTGTCAATCTGCTGCTCTGCCCGTGTCTGCTCTCGCAGAATGTCACACGGCCAGACTGGCCTCTCGCACGGCCGTGTGAACATCAGGGTAGCCCATGTGACCTCCTTTGCGACTTGTCTCGCGCCCGATCTTCGCCCAATCGACCCCGAACTCGCTCCTAAACCTTCATTCACTTGCCAGGACCTGAAATATCACAAACAAGCACAACCTAGCGTGAAATCGGTCTAAAACACGAGAAACCATATCTCAAACGGTGTAAGAACAGGGGTGAAAACATGTGTAACTAACGGGCTATCAAACTCCCCCACACTTAACCGTTTGCTTGTCCCCAAGCAAACCTAACTCAAACCAATGCAACTCTCCAGACCTCTATAGCAACAAACAACCCAGATCGTAGGTAGAGGACTTCCCAGATCATTTAGCAACTTACGAGGTCAACCGACGCACAAGTCATCTCAAAGCTTCTTATCGAGTCGGCATCATGGCAAACAGTGAACAGAGGACAAATGAATCGTGGATGAAGAGATTCTCTAAAACAAAAGATCATGGACTCACATTTTTCAAGGTGCTCTATTTTCTTTGAAGATGGTTGGAACCCCTTTTCTTTCTGTTTTGCTTGTTTTCTGTTATTTTTCTTTTCTTTTCTTTTCAAGGGTCCCAACCTGCTCTTACCGGCCATGCCAGGAGCGGATGTCTCGAGCCTCGTGCTGGGGAAAGACATGTAAGGGGGCTGGAGGTAGTAGGTGGAAATTGGGAACGGATTCCCGTCTCCCCTTACACACTTTCGCCCTATTCGCACGGGAGACGTTATTTTGAAGCTCATTTTTGAGCACCTGTTAAACTCAAAACATGATACAAGAGTCCATGACAGGCAGAGAATCCACAACACCACACAATTCAAGGGTCCTAAGATCACTAATTCACTCAATCAACCAACTCAATATGAAGAAGAAATGAGACTTCTTAGATGCATCAACATCCTCCATAGTGCTACACTACCTCCCTAGGTTGCATATTACTATAAAGACTGTCAATTCAAAGCATACTGAGCAGGCAATTGCAAGAAAACACGTACTTGGAGCCCTCAAATTTAAAAATTTGGACAGTGGACTAGGCTCCAAGCACACAAACAGCCAAACATTCACCCGCATAAATAATCGAACATCCCCCCACACTTAAGCACGACATTGTCCTCAATGGAGGAAAGATAAGGAGGGTAGAACGAAGTTACCAGATCAAGGGTGAATGATGATGTACGGGTCAGGCGGTGCATTCCAGAAAGAGAGAGTAATCAGAACACAAACACCACACAAAATCTCACAAAGGTTGAGTATTGACTCTAAAATCAAATAACAAAACTGACTCAACCGAGGAGAAATAGAGAAAGAGATGCAAACCGACTGGTTGGGTTGCCTCCCAACAAGCGCTTCTTTCACGTCGTGAGCCGGACGATGGCTCCTAAGTTTCGGTCCATGAGAGAACCTCCTTGAAGTTGAGGTTCTCGTCGATGAGGTGGAGTCTCAAGTCATGAGCATGTGATGTGGTAGGTGATGAAGGCTCATGTACTTGATGCAGATGAAGTCTCCACCCTCGAGACCTCTTCTTCTCTTCTCTCGTCTCATTGCCCCAAACCAGATATGACAGTATCGATTGGCCACCATCGCGTCCACCAAGAGGGACTGATGTCGATGTGGCCTTGGTCTGACAAAGAGACACTGCAAATGGGTCCTTGCTAAGCAGTTCCTCGAAGTTTGGTGGAGATATCACATGTAACTCATGGCCGGTGCAAGCCTCTTCCACCTCAACTTCGTCCTCAGCCTGGACGCCAATCGCCTCTTCAACCTCCCTTCCTTCTTCATGTGGTATCACCCCTGGGAAATGATCAAGAACTCCTCCAGCTTCACTTTCGTCATCCTCCACAACTTCTTTCTGCACCCTTTCTTGCTCTTCTTCTTCTAGCACGGATTGGAGAGCAAGTTGCCAAGCAATTTCTTTCATGAGATCTTCTTGCATCTCCTCACTCATGCCCGCCTCTTCAAAGCTCAGTTTGGGGTGTGGGAAGGTGTGGTCGGCTACGACATGACACGCCTGATCATGATCATCACGGGAGCTCTCCGTGACTGATAGACCGTCATTTACACATGTTTTTACCCCCATTCTTACACCGTTTGAGGTGTTGATTCTCGTGTTTTAGGCCGATTTCACGCTAGGTTGTGCTTGTTTGTGATGTTTCAGGTCCTAGTACGTGAATGAAGGCTTAGGAGCGAGTCTGGGGTCGATTGGACGAAGAACGGACGAATGGCGAGGTTTTTGGGGAGCTGCACGGGCAGACCAGGGAGGCTGCACGGCCGTGCACGTGAGCAATATGGCCGTGCGCCTTATGCCAAGGACACGCACGGGCAACCTCTGAAGCTCGCACGGCCGTGCACCCTGGCCGTGCGAGAGGGCTGAAGTTCGACTAAATGACACGCTGCGTTTTGAGTTGCACGGCCAGAATGGTGATATGCACGGCCGTGCACCCTGGCCGTGCGAGTCGGGAAATCTGGTTTTAAGCCAAATTCCGAACCAAAGAGGAGGGAGAGCTGGGTTTTTGGATCCCAAACACCCAAGGGACGAACCCTAGAGAGAGAGAGAGCGACTTGGAAACATTCTTGGAGCTATTTTGGAGGATTTCTTCGCCATTGGAGCTCGGGAATCAAGCTTGGAGATGGAGATTGAAGATCTAGATCAGATTTCTGCAGTCTCTCTCTTCTCTATGGAGTAACTTCCCTTCACTTAGGTTTTGAGGAACCCTAGTTCCATGAGTTAGGATCTTTCTTGTATGAAGTTTTGGATGCTTTATTGTTTGATTATAATCGATTGAGGCATGATTTATTGAGTCAATTGAATCTTGATCAAATTCTCTTGATTTCTGCTTTAACCTATGATAGATAGAATCTGATTAGGTTAAGAGAGCTTCCTTGATTGATAGTGGTGAATTGGTTGTGCGAGAGTCAATCAATTCACTGCTTTGTACTGGAATCCAATTCCAGTAGTGGAGTTCTGTGCTTATTGCTTCAGCTTTCTATCCCGGTGAAGACTAGTCGTCTGCCGGATAGTTAGACTGAGAGGGCTTGGTCAGCTTAAGAGATTCCAAGCTACTGTCGGATCTTCCGCAGTTTAATCAACAGTAAATCAACCAAAAGGAATTACAACTTGGACCTGATTGAGGAGCTAGGGGGAATCATACCTAAGTGAGTTCCCAAACTGTAATTAGTAGTTTTACTTAGTTTAGTTAGTAGAGTAGTTTAGTTAATCAATCCTTAATCTAGTTTGCTAGATAATGAACTGAAGCTGAGTAATAGTAACTCTAGAGACCCGTGGATTCGATATTTATTACTTGTGCCACTATACTGCAGTCCCTTTCATTGGTTACACTTGGCCATTGTTAGGTGTTGTGTTTGAGAGCATCAAGTTTTTGGCGCCGTTGTTAGGTGTTGTGTTAGAGTAGCTTCTTCTTTCTTTTTTGCACTTCTTCTCTCAACATGCTTAGTTTTTTTCCAGATTCTTCTTCCTTACTCATTTCTCCACACTATATTTTATGTTTTACCATGTGTTGTTGATGAAAGTTTAGAAATGAGAAGTAAATACGATGATATTTGGTTCATAAACTTGTGATTCTAAGAAAGTAGCAGATATTATGCTACGTTTACATCTAACGCTTAGGCACGCCTAGGCGACGCCTAAGCATGCTAGGCACAAGGCAGATCCTCAACACTCGCCTTACATCTAACGCTTTCTTGAACCTTGGCTGTCTTTTAAATCATTTTGTGGGGCTTTTAACCATTCAAGGGGGTTCAGGAAGATCGAAGGTCGTTGATGCAATAAAACCCAGAGTTTTTCCAGAAATGAACGACTACTTGTGTCGGCCTTGTTCAACGGAGGAAGTCTACAAAGCTCTGTACCAGATAGGGTCCCTCAAAACTCCTGGAAATGATGGTTTCCCAGCCCTCTTCTTCAAAGAAAATTGGGAGACCCTCAGGCCGCAAATCACCAGCGATCTTCTACACTACTTGGAAATTGGAAGCATACCTGCAGAACTCAATTTCACACTCATTGCTCTTATTCCTAAATGAAAGAATCTAAAGTCCCATAGGATTATCGCAGATGACTCGATATTTACACATGTTTTGTTCCACCATTCTTATACAGTTTGAGGCTCGGATCTCAGGTTTTAAGGCGATTTTACGCTAGGTTGTTCTTGTTTATGACATTTCAGGTCCTAATGCATGAATGAAGGTTTGACACGGGTTCGGGTGTCGATTGGGTGAAGACGGGACGAGCAATGGAGAGCAGACGAGTTGCACGGCCAGTCGAGGAAGACGCAGTGATTGAAATTAGAGAACTAGAGGGAGAGGACATTGGGACTAGGAGTTGACAAAACAAACAAAAGCAGTGAAGGTATGGATGAATTCCAAACCGTAGGTGGTATTTTATAGTTCATGTTTGGTGTCGGGTAACCGAGTTAGATGCCCACCCCTAGTTCATGGGCTAGAGAAGGCACAAAACTGAACAGGCCTTTCACCATCCTTGGACAATCCCAATACAAGTTAAATGTCCAAGATCTTACATAGGACCAAGGCTAACAAGACCATACGAATTGAGCTGAAGAACCCATTGTCGTCTCCCATTCATCTCCTCTACCTATCAATGTCTTGTGTCAACTCTCAGCTCTGCAACCTTCAATAGGGTGCTCATTTTGTGGGTGTAAGCCAAAAACGTATTGCATTTTGACGACTTTCTTTATTGATAGATTGAGAGTATAAATACACAAACCAACCAAGGAAATCGGCCTTAACAGATGACCTCAATCCCACTCTCCTACAGAACTGCAAATTGACTAACAAACAACTGAAAACTGACTCAAGTTGTTATCGACAATGACTACTGACTCGACTAACCAAACTTAAAACATTAGGTACTAAACTGTAAGACTATAGACGACGCCATTTTATTCAGACTCAAACTTAACAGACTCAAACTCAAACTTTGGCGCCAAACTCAGCCAGTCCTCCAATGCCACGAGTCTTCTTGTTCAACAGAGCCTCCCCTGATATGGAAAAGGGTCTTTTTGTCCAACAAAGCCTCCCTTGAACTAGAGCCAGGCTGCTTGGCTTCAGTTCACTCTCCAGCTTCAAACTCAGCATGATCCACCACTATAAGCTTGGCATTCAGCAGCTGAAAGGTCTCAAGTTTCAGGGCCTTAGTCATCATGTCTGCAATTTGCGCATAAGTCATGCAATGCTCCATTGTTAGTACACCATTGTTGGCTAGCTCTCTCAAAATGTGGAAACGAACATTAATGTGCTTGCTCCTGACGTGCATAACTGGATTCTTAGATAGCTTTATAGCTGAGCTGTTGTCACAAAAGATCCTTGTTGCAGCATGATGACTTGATATTTACACATGTTTTTGTCCACCATTCCTATACTGTTTGAGCCTCATTTCTGGTGTTTTAAACCGATTTCACGCTAGGGTGCTCTTGTTTGTGATATTTCAGGTCCTAGGACGTGAATGAAGGTTTGGGCATGAATTCAGGGTCGATTGGACGAAGTTGGGACGTTTGACGAAAAGCTGAGGAAGCCACACGGTCGTGTGACTTGGCCGTGTGGAACACATTTACGCGGGAAAAGCCACACAGGTCGTGTAAGGACCCCCTTTTGGCCGTGTGGCATTTCCAGAGAGTTACACAAGCTGGCCAGATTTCCACACGGTCGTGTGGTTTTGGCCGTGTAGCGTACCTGGAGTCACTAAATCAAACGCGGCGTTTTGGAGAGTTACACAGGCAGCTGGGGATTTCACACGGCCGTGTGATCGGGCAGAACTGGGTTTTTATCTCAATATCGGGTCTTTGAAGAGGGAGACAAATTTCTAGAGCAAAAACAGAGTCCTAGAGAGAGAAAGTGCGAAGAACTAACCCTAGAGGTAATTTTAGTTGTAATGACTTTTGGATTGCTATAATGCTTGATTATAATCAATTGAAGCATGATTTATTGAGTCAATTGAAGGCTGATCAACTTTTCTTGATTTCTTATGCAACCTGAGATAGATAGAATCTGATTAGGTTGTTAGAGCTTCTTCAATCGATAGTAGTGAATTGATTATACGAGAGTTAGTCAACTCACTACTTTGTACTGGAATTCATTCTAGTAGTGGATATATGTGTGAATCACCTTAGCCATCTATCCCCGCGAAGGCTAGTCGCCTGCCGGGTATTCTGTCTAAGAGGGCTTGGTCAACTTAAGAGATTCCAAGCTAATCTAGGATCTTCTGCAGTTTAATCGACAGTAAATCAACCAAAGGGAATTAAAACTTGGAATCATTCTCAAGCGTTGTCTTTTGCTAGGGGAATAGGCATCACAGGAGTTGCAGCTGGAAGAGCAGCTCGCGGAGCTAGAAAAAGCTGCGATCGAGAGGCGAGAGAAACCATTCAAGCGGATCCTTATCTCGCCCCGGATCGCCACATCATTGGAGGAGCCACCAGAGCTGGAGGTTAAGCCCCTCCCCTCTCACCTGGAGTATGCATTTCTCCGGGAGGGGAATAAGCTCTCGGTCATTATCAGCTCGGATCTGACACCAGAGCAGAAGAGCAGACTGGTGGCTCTGTTGAAGAAGTATGCACGGGCCATGGCATGGAAGATAACTGACATCAGAGGAATTAACCCATCCTTTTGCTCCAACAAAATTCTGATGGAGGATGAGGTTTAGCCAGTCAGGCAGCCGCAGTGGAGATTGACTCCTAACTTGGAGGCAGTGGTCTGGCTAGAGATTGTGAAGCTAATGGATGCAGAGATCATCTTTGCTATATCTGATAGCAAGTGGGTCAGTCCCACTCATGTGGTCCCGAATAAAGGCGGGATGAATGTGGTCCCAAATGAGAAGAACGAGTTGATCCCGATGCAGACCGTGACTGGCTGGAGAGTCTGCATCAATATCCGGCGCCTGATTGACGCAACTAGGATGGACCATTTTCCCCTACCTTTCATTGATCAGATGATGGAGAGGTTGGCTGGCCATGAGTTCTACTGCTTCCTGGATGGCATGTCTGGCTACTTCCAAATTCCCATCACACTAGAGGATCAGGCGAAGAACAAATTCACTTGCCCCTTCGGTACTTTTGCTTACCAGAGGATTCCATTTGGGTTATGTAATGCATCGACGACCTTCCAGCGATGTATGCTGGTGATCTTCGACCGACTAGTTGGAGAGATCATGGAAGTCTTCATGGACGACTACTCAGCTTACGGAGACTCCTTCACTCATTGTCTCCATAACCTAGAACTTGTCCTGAAGAGGTGCGAGGAGACTAATCTGGCACTCAGCTGGGAGAAGTTCCATTTTATGGTTCATGAGGGGATTGTGCTCGGGCACAAGATCTCCAAGCAAGGGATTGAGGTGGATCGTGTAAAGATAGAGACGATCAGTAAGCTACCTCCTCCCATTTCTGTGAAGGGGATCCGCAGCTTTCTGGGTCATGGAGGCTTCTACCGACGCTTCATCAAGGACTTCTCGAAGATTTCCCTACCTTTGACCAAGCTGCTAGAGAGGGATGCACCATTCCATTTCACTCCTGAGTGCACAGCTGCATTCGAGACATTGATGGAGAAGTGACACGCTACGGCACAACACCAAACTACGACCAAGTGTAATCGCAGTCCAGGAATGCAGTAAAGTGGCAAGTCTAATTATCAACCCGGGGTCTAGATCTGCTGTCTACTCCGTTAATATCTATTATCTAGCAAACTAAGTTGATTGATTGTGGTTTTAACTAAAAGCAGTAAGAAAGCAGGAAATGGTTCGGTTTTCTAAAGAAAAGGAAGAGTCACTCGAGAATAACCCCCTAGCTCCTTAGTTAGGTCTCAGTTGTAATTACCCTGGGTTGATTTACTATTGATTAAACTGCGGAAGATCCGATAGTAGCTTGGAATCTCTTAAGCTGACCAAGCCCTCTCAGTCTAACTACCCGGCAGACGACTAGTCTTCACCGGGATAGAAAGCTGAAGCAATAAGCACAGAACTCCACTACTAGAATTGGATTCCAGTACAAAGCAGTAGACTGACTAACTCTCGTATAGCCAATCTACTACTACCGAATGAAGAAGCTCTAACAACCTAATCAGATTCCATCTATCTCAAGTTGCAGCAGAAATCAAGAAAAGCTGATCAGACTTCAATCCATTCAATGAATCATGCATCATTTGATTAAAACCAAACAGTATTGCAATCCCCAGGGCCGGGCCATGATATTCAGAGGCCCTGTTCGAAAATTAAAATGTGGCCTTTTTTCTCTCATAAGTCTATTAAAAATAAAAATTATTAAATAAATAATAAAATACATAAGTTTAAAAAATGATTACAAAATAAGTAATATTATTTATCATTTTGAAAAAAAGTAACAATCGTCTAGTATTATTTGAAATAAAATACTCTATTAACTCTTCCATCTTTGCATCATCCAAGAAGTTATTCTCAATTGTGAACATCGCTAATCCGTTAAGTCTATCTTCTATCATTGTAAAGCGCAAATAAGACCTCAACAACTTCAACTTTGAAAAGCTTCTTTCAAAATCATCAACAAAATTAATTTGATCCACCATATCAAAATTTGAAGTTTTAAAACAATCAACAAAACAAAGAAGAATACTAATTGCCTGTGAGATGATAATTCCTTCTTACCGTTTACATAAGACATAAAAAAGATTCATTTTTACCATTGATGTCCCATGAAAAGCTTTTCTCAATGATCAAGTGTAGGCCCATCATTTAGTTGGTGCTAGTAACTTTGTTTGCCAAGCAATTTTAGCAAAGAATGATCTTACCTGAAGGCCCGTTTAAGCTATAGATTAATTAGAGGCCCATAATTAATTTAAAGGGAGTCATTTTGTTTTCAAAGCAATTTGGGAAAACATATTATTTATCTTGAATCCCGTTTAAAATATGAATTAATTAGAGGCTCATCATTTAGTTCAAACAGCTCACTTTGTTTTCTAACGTCAAGACTCAAGAGTCAAGACACATTACTTATTTGTGGGCCTATTAACAGCCTAGAAAATACTTCCACCGAGGCCCTCATTCTTATGAGGCCCTGTGCTGGCGGGCCTACCAGCACAGGCCCATGGCCGGGCCTGGCAATCCCAAGTCATTATAATCATGATCCCTAACACATGGAACTAGGGTTCTTCATATCCAAGTGAGAGAAGGGTATACTCCATAGAGAGAGAGAGAGAGAGAGAGAGAGAGAGAGAGAGAGAAACATAATACAAAGCAGTCATACTCATAACAATGGGAAGAATCTTCTATGGGATGATGATTTTCACTCCTATGATGATCTCCAAGCTCGATTTGATGAAACCCAGCTCCAAGATCGCTTCTAGGGTGTGTTCTTTGCACTTTCTCTCTCTAGGGCTCTGTTTCTGCTCTGAAAAGTCGATTCCCTCACTTTGTGGCTTGAAATTGGGTTAAAACCCAGAATTCCCGACTCACACGGGCAGGCCACACGGCCGTGTGGCTTACCCAGCTGCCCGTGTGAGTGTCAAAACGCGGCATTTCAAATAAATGGACTTCAGGCTACCTACACGGCCAGGGACACACGACCGTGTGGAATCTCCAGTATGCCCGTGTGAAGCCTCGGAAAATCCCACACGGCCACATGGGTTTTGTACACGGCTGTGTGGGTTTTAGGAGTGCCCATGTGGCTTCCTCAGCGTCTCGCTACACGTCCGATCTTCGTCCAATCGACCCCGAACTCGCTCCCAAACCTTCATTCACGTACTAGGACCTGAAATATCACAAACAAGAACAACCTAGCGTGAAATCGGTCTAAAACACGAGAATCAACATCTCAAACGGCTCAAGAATAGGGGTAAAAACATGTGCAATTAACGGTCTATCAAACTCCCCCACACTTAACCGTTTGCTTGTCCCCAAGTAAACCAAGTCAGACACAAGGTAAGCTCACATATTTCAATCATACAAACATTGGGGAGAAATCATATAGGCACAGAACACGTGAATCATACTGGCTTTCAAACATCAACACATGAACAACTTCAATAGCAACCTGGACAACCACCACAGAAGACATTTGAGTGCAGCAAAATCGAGTAAAGGAGGAGTCTCCCTTCTGTTCATCAACCAACATAGACTTGACTCAACCACTTACATCAAGACAGTCACCTCATGCACAAAACTCAAGATATCATAATAGAAACCGAGCAATCTAGGTCCTCACCAGGGTACAAGAATGTAGAGAATATGAGAAAATGAATCACTCACTCTCGACCAGTGGGGTCAGGACAATTTGATGCGAAAAATACGCATGCTTATTCTCTCAATCCCTAACGTCTCTTCACCATGATGGCAGCCTCTAAATTTTAGAGTTCACATTAGGGATGTCACCACTAACTAATCCAGAGGTCTTAGACACAGGTTCAGATGACTGGCTAGGGTCTTGGACATGGGGAAATGGCCTTTTAGGTGGTGGAAGTATTCATTGCACAAGGTTCCACATTTCCAAACCCAACAAAATCACAGTCAATCAAACCACTTACTTTCCTTATGCCATTCTGCATTACTCAACTTCTTTAGAGCACAAGAGCGAAGGAGGTCACATAATGTTAGTATTTCCAAGCCAGGCTGCTAAGAAACACTACTTAATGGGCACTATTTAGATTTTTGGTGGTGGCTCTCTTTTGCTTTCATTTTTTTCTTTGTTTTCTTTCATTTTTTTCCACCTCTGCACATTTTTCAAACACCACCTCTGCACATTTTTCAAACACCTGCCCAACTTTTTAAGAACCACCTCCAACTCTCACATTATATTTAGCAGAAACAGCAGAGAACATGTAAGAAACCACTCTGTGGAACCTTCTAAGAGATGCAAAAGGGTGATTTTTCATTGCAGACTGAAAGAAAGGATAACACACGGCTCAAAGGGGCTGACTAGGGGATATGACACACCAGGACAGTCAATTTGGTCGTGGGCTAATCCTATGCCTCCATCATCTTAGCTAATGACAACGCGAATGCTACACATCATGGAAGAGGGAACTATTGCACAAGAAAGAAACGAGCAGGCTCAAATCTCACATGGCTACCTATATGCTCTATCTCTCATTCTGATCCCCTGAACTAGATGCATAAACGACTGTCAAGAAAAAGTGATCCATCCAAGTCACAGTTGGTAAGCAAACAGTTGAAAAACTGAACCCCTACACAACTCTACTACATGTCTCAGTCATCATTATAGGTTGTCCCAGTCACCATCCAGTTGTCATGCATTAATCCGAAAACCATTCAATTCACCAATCAAAACACAGTGCGAATATGATCAAACAGTCGTACTTGGAGCCCTCAAATCTCGAGATTTGGACAGCGGACTAGGCTCCAAGCACACGTATATAGATTCTAACAGATACAAAGCACCCCCCACACTTAAGCATGAGATTGCCCTTAATGGAACATAGGGAGAGATAAGGGGAACGATGTTACCGGATTGAAATACTGCGGGGGACTGGAAGTGGACCAGTCAGCGGGGAATACATGGAACGAACGGACTATTTTGCACGAAGGGAATACAAAGAACACACTAGCACACGGTGCGTTAGGGATCAGAGTTGGCCTAGATGGCCACACAAAAGACAATCCACAAAAGAAAACCAAAAGTACAAAAACAAATGACAGACTCAGTTCAAGCTCCGCAAACACATGGAGCAAACATAAAAAGTCTAAAACAAAAACACACTATAAGGGGCGACGAGTACAGCCTACTCGTCGCCAAGGTTGTTGAGGTCAATGTCGTTCATGAAGGCGTCATCGTCGGCGGCTGGGGGTGGTAGGGGAGAGTCCTCCCTAGGAGTCCTCCAGACTGGCTGCTCGCCCGGTATCAGCTAGAGCAGGTGCTGCTGGACCTCCTGCATACGCCGAGAGTGGGCCTTCTCCCGCTCGATGTGAGCCAGAGTCACCCCCTGTTGGATCTCCATGTGGTCCAGACGCTCATTATATGCAACCATCCGGCTCTGATACTCGGCCTGGTGAGCCGAGTACTGCTGCTGGAATTGGAGCTGATGGTCGATGATCTGCTGATTCTGGATGCTCAGCTGCTGGAACTGGTGGGCGAAGTAGTCCTGCGATGGAAAGGTGGAACTGCTACCCCCGTACTCGAAGGTGGCCGGGCGGGCGACAGTAGTATCATCCACATCCTCGGGGTGGACATCCTCATCAGCCTCGTCTTTAGGAGCATCTGGCTCGTCCGCCGCCGGGATCTGAGGTTGAGGAAACCCCTCGGTCCACTTGACGCCTCGATCCACTCGCAGTAGGTGCATACTTTTGACCGTGTCTTCGCCGAAAGCACTAGTGCCCCCCTGCTCCGTGCACCCCTGCAGGGAAATCTGGAAATAGGTGGCCAGGCAAGTGATGAGGGGAGCGCAGTGGAGGCTCTTCAGTTCCGAAGCAGTCTTGGCAAAGGTTCTGGCTACCACAGAACCCAGGTGGAGTAGATGGTCCGCCTGGTGCATGGACTGGATGAAATACAGCGCTCTCCTAGTGATAGTGCTGGAACTCTCCCCGACCGGAGTGTAGGACTTCACCAGTAAGTGGTGGAGAATGCGGTTATCTAGCTGTAGGGTGGTGACCTTCGTCCGCCTTGCAACGAAGGGACGCTGGCCGGGCTGAGCGAGGCGGGTGTACAGCGTCTTGAAGTTCACCCCACCGGATAGCTGAGCTCGGTGACGTATTCCCTGTCATCGTCCAGGCTGAGCCGGAGAGCGGTCGCCAAGCCATGGTAGCTCATGGAGCGGGGCGCACCGCCGAGACGGAACTTGACGGCTTCATCGTCTGCCCAATCCTCTGTCTCCTCGTGCTTGAAGGTCGTATAGAACTCCAGCACGAGCTCGTGGTAAACAGTCTCGTGAATGGATAGCAGATGGCGCCAAGGGCAGTTAGTGACAATGGCGGAGAAGTGGTCGTAGCAGTTCAGCTTCTCAAACTCCCGCCTGGACCAGCAATGATGCTGCCCAAACGGGCAGGCCAGGACACGCTTAAACCGATCCTGGTGGGGGGCCCTCTTCAAATACCTGACAAACGGGTGCTTGAGGTCGGGTTTCGTCATGTTCCTGCAAAAGAACAACCCAAAGTGGAGCCAAAAGAGCCATAGAAAAGGTTAATCACACCCCCACACTTGAGAACAGAAAACAGTCGAACCATGGTTTCATCCATAGTTTGGTGGTCAATAACTCGATCAAACAAGCATAATCTGGGTGGGGGTGCACATCCATGATAAAGTAGGAAACTTAAGCTTCACATCCATAGTAAATACACCCTCACAGCACATCATTAAGGGCCCCAACCGGCTCCCACAAAATGGCATGAAAAACAGGCATTTCATCGAACACCTTGTGTGCATTATTAAGTTAAGCATAAAATTAACAAATTCATAGCACAAAAGGGCTCAATCAAGCATGGGGGACATTGCCCAACATCATTACACATAAACCAAGCCTTCCCCTCAATCAATTGCACACAATTCACACAATACAAAGTTGTTCTCTAAACATACACCCTAACACCCAATTCTCCACAATTCACAAGGTTAAGGGCAAAATCAAACCTGGAGACACAAGTAGAGGTGTAGGGGATGATGAGGGGAAGGCAATGGAAGCGACGAAAATCCCAAAATCTGCCCGGAAATTGCTCGCCGGAGTCTCGCCGCAAATCGCCTCCAGTGACCCAAAATCGGTCCAAATCGCCTCAAAATCGAGGGATAGGCCGAGAAAGGATAGGGAAGAGTGGCTTGGGTGGTGGTTAGGTGAAAAACCGACCAAAAATGGCCGAAAATTGCCCAAAAAGGTGAAAAGTCCCGGTTTCCCGGCGGGGGGAGAGT